TTAATGAATAGTAGGAAATATTTAGTTATGTACACTTTTTTTTTAAATAAAATTGTTACTATTTTACGATTTTTTTATTTATTTGTATGCATATTTTGTAAAATATTTGCATATTTTCGGGTAAACATGTGCATATTTATGCGCATATTTTCTACATTTTTATTTGCATATTTGCCGAAGTCTAAATATAATCTAACAGTAATTCTATTTGCGGCTGATGCCATCTATGGTTTAGGCCGAGAACTTTTCACAGTACCTTCGTATATCCCATCGTTAAAATCTTATTCAATCAAGATAAAATCGGATATGCATCTGCATAAGTGAATCAAATTAATACAACTATATTTCTCGCGCCTTAAGATAAAGTGGAACATGCATGTTTAAAGTTTAAAAACAAAACTAGAACTTTTATTCAATACCTGCATATTTTCACACGAATTTTCCCGCCGTTCCATTGTACTATCGACGAGATTCTGTTTTTCTAACTGTATGCAGATATATATGCATATTTCACACAGAAGTGTGCGTGTGAGTGAACGTATGTGTATCTTTACGCATTTATTCAATGTTTTTACCATTACCATTATTATCATAAACCGTTGTCAAGTGAATAGGACGAGCTTGAGTTGATGGCGCGTTTTCTTCTTGTTTCAGAATTGTGCAGTGCGGAATCGTTGCCTGAAGTGGAGTTGATCAGCCTCTTAGAGGAGCAGATTCCGAAGTACAAATTGAGAACTGACACTCTGACCAAGTTCGGAGGTAAGTTACATTTAAAATTGATTATATTTTAATATGTATATTGTCGTCGTGAAGTAGGAAGTTCAAAATAATTAAAATAATTTACTCAATCAAGGGATATTTTTATAAAAAAAGAAACCGACGAATATAATAAGTAATGTTTTATAAATTGTGACAGGTTTATAAACTTAAACTTTCGGAATCAAATAATTTTTCTAAAGTGATCTATTTATTTTTACGCACAACAGGCCGTTAAGGCCTAGGCATTTTTTTTACAACATAATCCTAATAATAACTAATTACAATTATTTTAAACAAAACTTTAACTTAAATATGTATATATAACATTCTTAACTACTCTGAAGGACCTGGTGTACATATTTCTCCATTCGCTTCTATCTTGTGCTTTTATTTTCCAGTCCCTCACCTTCACGTGTTTAAGGTCTTCCTCCGCTTTACTAATCCACCTCGTTCTGGGTCTACTTTTTCTTTTGGGGCCGATTAATTTTCTGGTTATTACTAGTTTTAGGCATTCTGTTTGCTGCCATTCTTTCCACATGTCCCAACCATCTGATTCTTTGTGCCTTGACGAACTTGGTAATGTAGGTTCTTTGTATAAAGCCATTAATTCATTGTTGGTTCTTCTCTCCCAACCATCTTCTGTCTTCCGTCCTCCGAATATGCGTCTCAATATTTTCCTTTCCATCTTTCCAGAGTATCCTCTTCTTCTTATTTAAGTCCATGTCTCACCGGTATATGTTATTGTGGGTCGAATTACTGTTTTATATATTCTGAGTTTACCTTGTCTAGAAACGTATTTTTGAGTTCAGTAGGGCTCTTAAACTACCTAATTTTTTATTCCCTTTTGCTATTCTGGCTTCGAGCTCCCATTTCTCTTTTCCATTTTCATCGAAAACTACACCCAGGTATTCAAATTTGTCCACCCTTTTAAAACTATAGCTTTTACCACTTACTGACCTCACACTAAAGTCTTCTTTTTTCCCTTCTGTCCCTCCCATGATCATATATTTGGTTTTGTTTCATTAGTTCCAATCCGAATTTCTGTGCTTCTTCGATGATTTTCTTCACAACTCTTCTTAATTCATTCTCGGTTTTTGCTAGGATCGTTAGATCGTCAGCAAATGCCAAGCACTGGTGCTCATTTTTCATGATCGTTTCTTCCACCTTCATGCTGCATTTTCTGATTACAGTTTCTAACACTAAGTTGAATAATGTAGTGGATAAAGGATCTCCCTGTCTCAAGCCTTTTGCAACCGTAAATTGATCTGATATGTGACCCTGCCAAGCAATTTCACACGTAGAGTTATTAAGTGTCATTTTAACTAGCCGGATCAGTTTCTTTGGTATACCCAAATGTTCCATTGCTCGATACATTTTGACTCTATCGACTCTATCATATGCTTTTCTAAAATCCACAAACAAAACATGCAGGGGAACTTTACCTTCATAACAAGTCGTTTGTATGTCCTTTAATGAGAAGATTTAGTCTACAGTAGATCTATCCTTTCTAAAGCCGGCCTGATATTCATGCAGGATTCTTTCCGTGTAGCAATTTAGTTTATTTCTCAATATTCTTGCCAAGATTTTGTATACCGTGTCTAATAAGGTATATCTTTCTCTATAGTTGTCACACTTCAGTTTGTCTCCTTTTTTATGCAGAGGGCATATGCGGGCCTCATACCACTTCGATGGCATTACTTCCTTTTCCCATACTTGCACTAGTAGCTGATATATTTTTCTTTGTAGTTGTTCTCCACCAAACTTGATCATTTCTATGCATATGTCATTTTTACCAGGACTTCTGTTATTTTTCATTTCTTGTATTGCTATCACTACCTCCTCCTCTGTAGGCTGCCTTTCAACTATCGCATCTTCTCCAACTGTCCAGTTGTCTACTGCTTCGTGGTCCTCCTCACCATTTAATAATTCTTCAAAATGTTTTTTCCATTCCGTCATTATTTCTGCCGGATCGCTAATTAAATTTCCATCTTTACCTTTCATATAACTACAGTGACTTTGGTAACCTTTTCCCATCTTTTTAACTTCTTGATAGAACGACCTCACCTCTTTGTTTTTAAACTTCTCTTCTATCTCTTTTAATTTCAACTCATGTTGGTTTCTCTTTTTCTTTCTATACAGAGCTTTCAATCTTCCTCGAAAAATTCTATATTCTTGTTTTTACACTCTCTATTATCTGTTAATATTTTTTGTCTGATCTTCTTCTTTTCCTTTGCTATCGCCTGACACTCTTCGTCAAACCAATCTTTGTTTGTACTTCTCTTGGAGTCGCCCTTAACTATTTTCTCGCTAGCTTCTCCTACGGCAGTTTTAATTTGTTCCCAGGCTTCTTCATATTTATTTTTTATTTCTACTTCCTTAAGTTTTTTAATATTGTACTTTCTCTTCGTTTTATTGTTCGATTTCTATTTTTATTCTTCAGCCTCCTCCCACATGTAACTTTAACGAGGTAATGGTCCGAGTCGATTTCAGCTCCTCTCATACTTCTTACCGTCTGAACGATATTCATATATTTGGAGCAAAATATTTGGAGCTGTAAACGATCGAGGGCAGTGGCGTAAAAAATTTAATTTCGAACTATACCAACTCTTTATTGAACCAGATGTCGTAACCTTCATTAAAACACAATGATTAAAACATGATTGCTAAAAAGCTAACGACAGGAACGCCTACAGGAAGAAGAAACAGAAGCCAACCGCGAGTTAGGTGTTTATATGGAGTTGAAACCGACTAAGGGCCATATACCATACGTCATCCGTACGGAACTCCTCCCCCCCCCCCTGGGAGAGGAAAGGCGACGCAGGCGGAAGAGGAATTCCACCTTGCACGTAGACAGGTCACCGCCGAGGAATCGCTCCTCTACCACTGTTAAATCATTCCAGGTGGGTACGTGCCGGGTCACCAAACCACCATCGGTAGTGTAAGGCCGTGGGAGGTATTTACGGTCCCAGCTAGTTCAACCTCACCTGGCTCTTGTGGAAATGGGAGTAGAGTGGTCACACGAGATGCTCGTCTCGGATACTAGGAATGTGGACCGGTGACCGAGATGGCTATGCATCACTAGTGCGTTTCCACAAACCCGACACCTCGAATGACGGCTCTCCACCTCTTATTTCTCGCCCATTAGTCGCCTCTTACGACAGGCAGGGTCTTCTTGCCTCGGCCGTATCTTATCTCCGCGAGCCGAACGGAGAAAAGATTTGCCAATTAGACATGAATGAATGAGTGACAGTACGTATACTCTCGTTTATATTGCTGGTATAGTCGCCAAGGGGCCATGGTAGCCAGTCGCCACAAGAGGAACTGTAGACACATGGCGTCCCTAGGGATACTAGAGATCAGAAGATGGCAACACGTTGCCAGAAACCGAACAGAAAGAGCAGACCAGGATCCACAGAGGATTGTCAAGCCAAAGTAAAGAATAATTACCATAAGTAAAAAAAATATTTAGCGAAGTTTGGCACGAAACTGGTAAAGGCATTCTTCTAAACGTAAAGAAGCAAAAATTAGCTCAAATATAAAAAAACTATATATAAGCAGATCAAGAGAAGAAAGTTGAGGATGGGACCAAGACTTGCATAAGTAAGTAATTAATTATAATAGAGGTATTAAATCAAATAACAGTACCTCGCTATCATACATCGTACAAAATGACAAGAGCCGAAGCAGTACATTTTGTACAATGAAAACCAAATTTCCCAGGAATAAGAGTTAGATTGTTAATTGTTAGCCAGATAAATAGACCTCTTTACACACGAGAGTCTGTTGACCTTGACCCTGCGAAATCAAACCGAATTTTGTACTTTTATTATTAATCCACGCTTTATGAATTTAATAATTTGAACGATACTCAATTTGTCACTATAATGGTTTTTAAATTCAAGGCTTCAACTTTGTCGTCATCACTAACCTATTACAAAAAATAAACATGTGAACGTTATCAAAATTCAGACACCTATCTGCAATTTCTTGTTAAAAAAATGATATGAAGTGTAAACTGTTGTACAATCGTAAAATTTTATATGTGAGTAGTTAAAAGTTATTATTTTAGTATTTGCAGAACGTTGCCGAATGAGAGTGTCATACATGTGAACTCGTGATCGTAGAAGTAAACAGTCGCAAACATTTTTTGTGTTTCCAATGATTTTATTAATATTTCGGTTGTTTCGTGTCAGTTCACAAGTTTTATACAGTAGTTTAGACTTAATGTGGTATTTTAATAATCTTAAGAAAGTAATTTAACTGTTAAGTGGTGCGTAACAATTGAATCAACAACAATTCCGACCCTATGTTTAGTTTCGTTCGTAGAATGGCTACCTATAGGTCGTTATGTTTCAGGTAAATATATTTATATATAGTTAGAATTGTTTTATGTTATGAAAGGACTGTATTATTCGCTTGAGTGCTTAAACTATTTCATTCTTCTTTAGTTTTTTATAGATATGAAACTTTTTTGCCTTTTCCCTTTGTGTCGATTTTATTTTCACTTACTTTTCTGTATTTCTTGTTTATCATTATATCGCATGGCGCTACAGCCTTCGTGATCCTTGGCCTGCCTCAAAACATCCTTCCATACTTCCTTGTGAGTACTTGTCTTCTCCATTCGCTCACTCCAATCTCCCCTTTTTCTCCATCCACCGGCCTTTTTAGCTTAGTTATTTTGGCGATGCCACTTCAATCCATTCACATCACGTGCCCACAATTGTAGACGGTCTATTTTGATGGTTTTAACGATATCTACATTACCAAATAGTCTATAGAGTTAAAAACTATATCGTCTTCTCCATAGCTCTTTAGTTGAACCCGCCATCTATGGTTCTAAGCATTTTTCGTTCAAATATTCGCAACAGCTCCTCCTCTCGTATCATTATCACCCATAATTCCGATACGTAAGTAATATGTAATATCATTTTATCAAGCTTACATTGTGTTGCTCTTGACATATTTGTCGTTTTTAGCTGGGGGTCTAGGCCAAATTAGAAGCGATTAGCTTCGCATATTCGCTTCCTTATTTCTTTGGACATATCGTTTTTGTAGTCCACCAGTGACTCCAGATAACAGAAGATGATATTATTGAAATCAGGGTATCAAAAATATTTAAATTCAATTTTTAATTCTTTGGCAATAAAATGAGTGTTGGGCTTTATATCAATTCTTTGTTTATTTTTTGACTCCAATAATGTAGAATTATGCTATTTCTCTTCTACGTAGTCCAGTTGTCAAACATTTTACTGAAAATTTTTAACAAACTGAATTTTTGCTAAATATATCAATTTTGGGACCTCAAAAACATGCAAAAAAGTTTTACCACTACTACCTCCCGGCTTTCCCTCACAAGGGGGGAAAATCGGTTTACTAAGAATCTGTACGTCATAGAAAAAAAATAGTTCAAATAAAAAATATAGTTGAGATAATTTTGAACAATAGTGGTTATTATCACTTTTTGTGTAGAATGAACCGTTCGTTCAGAAACAACGCTTAAAGGGACCGGCGATGTTGAATGTCAGTTACGAGCGCGAAGTTAATTTCAAATAAAATATGTATCAACTCGACGGTACAAACTCTTCATTTTTAAAATGCATTTTGATTTTTGTCGATAGGACACTCTGATCAAAAGATATCTAATTTTTACCATCGAGTTAATACAAATTTTGTATCAACTCGAAATTGAAACATTGATTGCGCGCGCGATACTGACATTCAAAAGCATTGTTTCTGAGAGAACGATTTATTCTTGTCGTCTCGTCGGAAATAAGGGGTTGAACCGCCTTAGCATCCTCGTTCGCTCTGCGGAATGCTTCGACTGGACTATTCGCAGTATTGGTTCGGTGTATCTTGTCTTGAAATAGACAAGATATTTCTTACATGACCAAGTAAAATAAAAACACCATTTTGAGTTGTTGAATAAATCAGCCTGAGAGTCTGGAAGTGGTAGCTGGAGCAGAGCCCCTAGAGTGCAGGTGACTCTAGGAAGTCCGTGAGGGACTGACCTCGCTGAGCATCGTTGTAGGTTGTTTTTTTTTCTGTTGGTTGTTTTTCTTTATGGCTGGTTTTGTTGTCCTGTTTTAGGTGGAACACCTCTTCAGGCCGTGGTTTGTTTTTGTTTGGTGTCGGTATGTGTCGCTACGTTGTGCTCACTGGTGGTACGCGTCGGTGGCTATAGTCCTGCGGAGAAGGTGATATCCAGGGTGGTCAGAGGTGAAAGGGCTTGAGTTAAAACGGTCCTTTTAAGAAATGTATTAGTAAAAATTATATAGTTATGAATTGTGAATGAATTTAATTAATAAATATATAAATGTTATGAATCGCGGAGAGGGCAGCTGTGGCTGTTACCTCAACAATAGACAGATATAACTGTGCAATGGGATCGGAAAACCACAGAAAACCGATATCCTTTCGGTCCGTAGCAAAGCTCGAAGTGAGTTATTTATTAGTTACGGCAAAAATAAAGTACAGTTGCCTCCAGGATATCAATGTATTCATCAGGGAGTTCGTTGCTGGCAAGAGTCAGCAATTTAGTGGATAGGAATGGGAGTTTGCGTTTGGGGTGTCTGTTGAATACATTGCCGAAGAGTGAGCAGGTAGTTTTAATGATATTTTGGGCTCTGAAGTTTTGGTCACGGATGGTTTTGATTGTATAACTCCTGTTCAGAGAGGAGAGCCTCTCATTGATGGGCTGCATATTCGACAGTTGATGTATGAGGGCGGAGGGGTAGTCGTGCCGTTTGTTGCTTACTCTACGCAGGATTCCCGTTCCAATGCCAGCAGTTGTTGTGTAAGGCGGTGATTGACATTGCTCATATCATCACCGCCTGATAATTTTGACTGTTCAATGTGGTCCATATTTACCACGAGGGCATTGAGTAAACCGCCCTTCTCCTCACCCTGTTCAGGTTGCAGCCGGATCAGTTTAGTGCTTCTGTGAACACCACACCGAGGTACTCAATCTGGTTACGGAGCTAGAGTCGATCCGTCTTAGAGTCTGAGGTCCAGTCTTGTGGCTAAATTGTGTGTAGTGTGTCTGCTGAGTCACACTACAATTTGGGGTGTCTAAAAAGAATCAATGGTATTTTATTAGGGTTAGGTGTTACTCTTCATCTCCCGCACCACCTGTCGACCAGGTCAAGGGGATTTTGAGCAAACCTACATAGAGCATATGCATCTCGAGATGTTACATGTTGTTACGAGAGCAGTGTCATCTGCGTAGAGTAAAGTGAGGGTGCGAGTGTTTCGTGGGTTAGAGAAGTCACTATTGTATATGTGTAAAGTATAGGGACACGGAACACGGAACCTTGTGGAACTCCTGCTGTAGGAGTAAAAGGGGCTGAGAAATTACTCGCATCTTTACCGTTATTTGACGTTGATTAACATACGAATGGATAAGTCTAACGAATGGGAATGGCAGACCGATGTTCAGTAGTTTCTTGACCAGTCCATCATGCCAGACTTGTCTCGAAGTCTTTTTTAACATCGAGAAAAATGCCTAGTGATAGTTTACCATCGTGTTCGCTGACCTGAAAATGGCTTACTTTTATATGCGCGTATCGAGCGATATTAGAGATTTCCCGAACGATTGGCCAATAAGAAGATTAGAGGTGGGTGATGCACATCGGAGTGCGCACTAGTCCACAGATTATAGCACTTAATGACATTCTGCACAAAAAGTCGTAATAAACATTTTGTTCAAATTATCTGGCTAGATTTTTTATTTGAAACATTCTTTTCTATGACGTACAGTTTCTTAGAAATCGACTTTTTCCGCCCCCCTAAAGGGGGAGGTTTAGGGGAAGCCCGGGGATAAAGGGTTAAATTTTTGCGTCTTTTTTGGGTTCCTAAAAATGCATTCTCGTCATAATTTACCTTGTCCGTATGATTTTTACAGATTCAGTAGCATTTTTGTCTCTGACGCTGGAGTATACTGAAGATACTTGTACCGCTTTTAGAACATATTGAATTCATCGAGTAGAGAAACTGCCACAACTGATGTAATGGGCTTAGGAACTTCCAATCGGGAAATATCGTGAATCACGCTCCATCTCTTACATACACGCCCGAGGAAGTTACTCAGAGTCCCGTTTTTTCACGTCACGCGTCCAAAACTAATTTTAACCAGTGCTAATTATTTTGAATAATTTAAAAGCTTCCCCTTTTTGTTACAGGTTACGAAAATCAAGACTGGTTTATACCGTCACCGGCTCTCGAAGTTGACGAGGCCGACCTCAAGTTGTCGCCGGATCAAATCCGGGAAACTTTGAATTATTTTCGTAAGTATTAAATATGAAATATGTGTCTATTTTTAAAATATAGTATTGATCTGTAATATATTATTTACTTTTTATCCTCGATATATGTATAAATAACTGATTTTATCCCTTCATTCTATTTCCGTTATGTTTTGTACCTTTATATCTTTTACTTTTGTATAATGACATTTCATGGGATCAGCTATTTATATTTAACAAATTATATTTTGATTGATTTTTCGAAACAATCAGACAATCGTCATGGCTATTAAGGTTTTTAAACTTTTTCGTTGGTAATAAAGGGCCAATAAGTGAAATATAATAATCTGGTATCAATCAAAATTTCCCTATTTCCTGTAGTTGACAACTATTAAGCGTCCTATTATTCAAGTGCAAATTCTTATACAAAGTGACATAGAGTAAATTTCCCTTTTTAGTCGTTCCGCATTAAGTTGTAAATGCAGTTGTATGGGCGGTAAGAACGTCATCAGGTATAGCAGTCAAAATGTGCCGATTTGTGCCGTGGAGCAATGGTCAGGCGAACAACCTGCGTTTATAATCGAAGCATATTTCAAGAACAATGATTCGTACCCTCCAGAGAGAAGATAAAGGAAAGAAAGAGGACAGTTCGTAGCTCTACCAATTCAGACTAGCACAAAACACTGTGTAGACCCCAACAAAGAAGATCTTATCACCATGACATTCTACTAAACAAATCAATAAAAAAACATAAAAAATAAAAAATGTGGCTCGGTCACCAAAAAAATCAAAAAATTATTAACAAAAAATCGGCGCAAGCCACCAAAAAAATTATAAAACCCAAAAAACCGGGCACGTAGGGCCCAAACTCTTGAGCACCAAGTCTCCGAAGGCTTGAGGCCCAAGCAAGCAATTTCAGTTCCGCAGATAAGTCACATGAGGATCACAGGAATAAAGCGCATCAAGCTGTCCTGAATTCTAATCGGTTAGGGACCATGTTGGAGTTCTATTATCCAGGACTCCCACATAAAGAGCATTCGGCTGATAGTTGTGCCTCTATGCACATCAGAGTGCTATAGGGGAGAAAGGGATGGTCTGGAGCATTGGAGTGAGGTGGAGTGACTCCTGTTTTACACGAGTTATACACCTCGCTCCAATGAATTGTTACTACCGAACGTAATTCCAAGGGGTGAACAAGTCTCACAGGCTGAGTTTAATTAAATTGCTTGCTTGTTTCAACAATGATTCGTATATGGTAGCAAGAAACCAGTACTGTGCTCAATACAATATTCGTCCCGTAGTGGATACACCCTCGAAAAATGTTGTAAAAGGGTGGGTAGCAAAGTTTCGAAATACTGGTTCAGCTCGATATCAGACACACCCGGGCAACCCAAAGTCGGTTCGAAAAGCAGTGAATATTGCTGGAGTACGCCGGGCAGAAACTCGACAAGCCAAGAGATCGGCTCGCAAGGTTGCCCAGACATTACAAATTAGTCGTCTAAGCGTGTAACGCATTTTAAAGAAGTATTTGCTGCTCATTCGAAAAAAATTCAGCTTTTACAGTAACTAAAACCTACAGACTCATCTTCTTACATGGCGAAATTGAATGGCCTCCTCAATCGCCTGACTCACGCCTCTTGATTTCTTTTTGTGGGGATACTTGATGAGCCACGTCTATGTTGATCTCCTGCTACCATCGATCAGCTGAAACAATAGATTCGCGATGAAACCAAAAATATTATAATTCTTCTTCTTAGACTGCCGTCTTCCTACGGAGGTTGGCAATCATAATGGCTATTTTTATTTTAAAACTTGCTGCTCTAAACAAATCAATCGATCTGCATTGATACCAATCAGGTAGATTCTTTAACCATGAGTTTGGCCTTCGGCCAACAGATCTTTTCCTTGAATATTATAATTGCTTTGTGCGAATTTACTATTTTTGTTGGGAATAAGCCACAATTTTGCTATAAATTTTGTAATCTAACATTTATGCAGATGTTTGCTATATGGACACCAATCATTATTTTCAAAAAGTAGATCCACATTTGTACGCTTTTATGTTTTGTTATGGTAATAAATCATTATAACTTTGTCTTTGATATCTATTTGAAAAGGGAAATTTACTCTGGGTCACGTTATGCACGATGCGCATTGATTTTATAGCCTTACAAAAAATATTTGAGAAAATTCTAGTAACGGGTTGACACGCCTTGTGTATTAGAGACCGATGATAATTATTATCATAGAAGTTCCTGTAGTGTATATTCCATTGCAGGACTGGATTTTTTTACAATATTAGAAATTTAAGAATGATTTGGCGTGTTTTATATTATAAATAAGCAGAAATTCAACATTTTAGATTAATTCATAAAAAATGACGGTTTCCTTTGTTCAGTGCTACAAGTGCATCATCGAATGCACTATAGTGACAGGCAAGAAAAAACTTAAGAGAATACTAAAACCTATTCGGACTAAACTATTCGCGCAGGTAGACTTGATTCCAAAATAGAGCATCTATTGCATTAACTACCTATATTGACACATCTGAGATAAATAAGGAACAATATGAACAGCAAAAGTGTATCTACTTAACGCTGAACTTAAATGAAAAAAGGATTAAACGGCTGAAAATGCCAAATTAATCTTCTTTTTTCTTCCTCTTTATACGCAAATCTGCTCGTTCATTGGCGAATTAATACCTCTATGGGAGGTTGTCACTCTATATTTTGCGCGGTCGTCCCGATTAATCATTCTGCCAAATTAACCATTTCTACTAAATATAAAAATATAGTCACCAGATGAACAGCTTTTTCTATAAAGAGCTACACAGAAGGTGGATATAGAATAGAAAAACCCAGGTTGATAGTACCTTAATGAAATGAATGATTTAATTAATTATGAATCAAATTCTTCAATTTAATTACTTACCAAATGCTATGTTTCATTTTATAAAGCAAATTATGTTGTCGTTAGAGCGACACATATTCTACAACGAACAAGCCGGCACTGATTTAGATCTTTTTTCCATATGCGTCGTTATGGCCAACGAGTTTAATTATTATAATAATAAGAATATCCAATTACAGCTTATTCTTGAAGCTTAGGTAAAGACCAGACACCACTTCTAAAACATAGTCAACTTATTACCAACTTTCTTGTCTCGCATGTGATAGGCAGTAGGACAGAATAGCTGTGTTGAGGTTTTTCTATACCATGTTCTCAGGTTAGCAAGCCAGGATATTATTCTTTGTACTGGTGCCTTTTTTCCTTCAATTTTACTTTGCCAAATGCATTGGAGTAGCTCATGCTAAAAAGGTGGTAGAGGTGCAAAATACCAAGTGGGTAGAAGAAGTATCATAGGTTCGCGCAAGAGATGAAATTACAAGTACATTATCTTGTATGGAGGCAACAACACGCCAATGAACAAGCAAAATTGCTTATATAAAGGAAGAAGAAGATGAATATATATTTGTTTTATTGTTTATGCAATTTTGATATTTTTTGAATATGAATCAACTCCAATATACATATTTTATTATAATTTGACTCCCTTGATTGACTGATTATCTGACACATACGTGTATAAAAAAATGTAGACTATAACTGAAGTGGTTTTTTTCATAAAAAAAAATAAACGTGCTAGATAAAAAAGTGTGATCTAAACACCATTTTTATCTATTGCTGTGATGGAAAGATTGTTATTATTTATTTTAATCTGTAAACAATTAAATGTATGCTATGGAAATTCTGATTGATGCCAGTTTATACGATGTTGGTGGATGAGCAGGCCGTTATCACCAACTAATATCTGACTACCACAAAAAATACCTGTACTTAAATCAGACGAATGTGACTGTCCTTTTTATAATTTTTTAAAGTAAATTTCGTACAAAATTCATTTATCTTATCAATATTATCGAATAATAAGTATCTTGAGTGTTTATGAAAAAACAATATGTGCGAATTGATTATTACTCAGTATTTTTTTGCCAGAGTACACGTACATTTGACGTGGTGGTCATCTTTTAGTCGTAGGTCTGTCTGGCTTTCAGCCCCTTAACCGATATCTGTTTTAGTTCTATGTAGCAATCGCGTGAGCCAAATGACAAAGACCTACGATGACATTGAAGCGGTCACTAGGCTTCTGGAAGAGGTGAGTACAAAGATCATTATATTTAATTTATTAACGTCAAAAAGTATTCATTGTTTCATTGTGTTTGTATGCAGATGTAACTAGTAACGTAGAATTTTACATCAATTTCTGTACGTTAATTTCTCGATCTGTATCGCTTCATTTCTCCGTTTTCACTGTCTAGAGTTGGATTTCATCCATCTGGGACCAAGCCGACTCATCGTATACTTTTCTTATTTGTGATCTTACTCTTTACGTTCATCGGAGTAGTACCAAATCCAAAGTCTTCAAAATTATTTTTTCATCACTTGTTTTCTTTATCTAATAATTGTTTCATTTTAAAATCCATTTCTAAGTCTTAAGTAGCTGCAACAACTGCCTGTCCATCGGCACTTCTTATGGAGTTGTTAGATTTTTTATTCAATTATTCCTTTCGGACCATGTTCAGTGAAAACTTAGAAATAAGTATTTCCACGTTAAAATAATTAATGCAAAGACATACTTACACCTGAAGAGTAGTTGATACTAGCCACAAATCGAGATCAAATGTCCCTTATTATATCATATTTTGATATTACACTAATTTAATTTTAATTTAATACTTTCGACTAATTTTTAATGCTCTTGTATTTAACAGTCAAAATTTTACCTCCTTGCCTTTGCATTAAATATTTTAACGTGGAAATACTAATTGCTAGGTCTTCACTGATGATGATCCAATAGGACTGAAAACGTACTGAAATTTTTAATTAATATACCATTTTAGATCAGTTCTTACTTCACTGTAAGTTTTTTAAATAATGTTCATATAGATGGAGTCGATTTAACGGATGGGTTAATATGGCCTTCCAGGTAAATGTCGAAATACGATAATTTCTTCTATTCCATTCTTTTGTCGATATGGCCAGTACAAGTGCATTAATTTTACGCAAACGTATGAGTGCTGAAAAAGTGAGTAATTCCAAAGATTTGCCTGAAGAAGGAAACTCTCTATATATTCAAAAATTCCTTTAGGAAATAGCTGCTGGACTAGAAAAATAAAATGTAGATCGACCATCATCAGCTGGTTGATCATCTGGTCAACTTGGTTCCAGTAGGGTTTATCAAGTTGGTAATGTAAGGTTTTATGGTGAAACCCAGTCTCCAATTTTTCTTCCTCTCTATAAGCATTTCTGTTTGTTAATTGGCGGATTGATACATCTATGACATGCCACTTTATCTTTTGTGCAGTAGGCCGATACTTCTACTGTTTGTTGATTAGTTATCCTTTGTGTTGGGACTTGTCAGGCCTTTTTTTTGATACATACGTCATTATTAGTCTTATATTGGCTTTATAAATAATTGTTGATTCCACTTTTTAGTGTTAATTTATCAGTTTGGCTATACTAGTGTTGTTAAGGCACCCTGCCACTCTATTTCCTTTTTGTATTTTATATTATCTTTCCAGATCTCCATAAGTGGACAGTGTAATCTCAAGACATTTTATTTCCACTACTTGTTCAATGCTGACTTTTATTTATACTTTTCCTTCTCTGTGCAAAACCATGAAGTATTTTGACCTGCGAATAATTTATTTTAATTTATCTGTTATCCTGCAGGCTTTCAATCTGAATCCTGGTAGTATATACTGCTTCTGTATTTGTATAATGTGTGTGTTTATTCGAATTTTGCTCAGTGCCCATTTAGGATTGCCTTTTTGTCCTTTGACCAAACCTTGAGAAGTGTATCAATCTCTATTCTACAAAATATACTCTATCGTAGATCTTTGTCCTCCAATATTTAAAAAAATATATTTTTACTTTTATTTGTGAGGGAAAAGTATTAAAAATAAATATTTCATTGGTGTTAAAGTCCGTCAAAAGATCTTCATTTCCATTTCTGATATTCTTTACATTTTTGTTTTATCTTGGTACTATGCCCCACCAACAAAGGCTTTAAAATCACTCATAATGGTCATACAGTGTGTCCAGCATGTTCACAGTATGTTATATCGCTCACTACATTATTGACGTAAACGTCACTCATTAGATTATTATTCCATTCCCGAATATTATTTTTCGCTAAAAATAAAACCGAAATCTAGCACTCTGGGAGTGACCGAGAAGTGGAAGCCTCTTTTTATCTGTACGTCTAAAGTGATGGTTTTTAATTTAATTTAGTATATTTTATTTTAATTTATTATATTTTATTGTATTTTGTTTTATTAAGAAACACGCATGGGACTGTGTTTACTACTCCACGTAGTGTGTGGTCGCGCAATTTTTCGTTTCTTTGCATTTCAGATGTTTCAGAAAGCAAGGCTTCGAAAAATGTAAACGTTTCTATTCTTGGTCACCCCATCTATGGACACACTGTATATTCATTTTTGAGAGATAAATATATTCTTGTACTTGTATAAATTTTCTATGTACTAACAGGGTCACTTCTTCTTTAGCTGTGATTTCCTTTGGCAACACCATCGTAGATCATTAGGAAATTGCATTGCATAATGTGAGCTTGACTTTGTCTTTTGTAGTGCATATATCTAACAATAAAATACTGAAAATCGTATTGTTTCATGTAAATATAGGGAAAAGAGACCACGATATTACAAAACCAATCATTACATCTGAAATTTTACCTTGAAATTTGCATAAACCAGGACTACTTTGAATTTAATAATCAAATATATACAAATAACAGTGCAGAACTTATAAAGGATCATCTAGAAACAAAGAGTGGAGACACATAGACGATGTACTTTTGTGTTTTACAGGAACTAACAGACAACTTGACCAATTCTTATCGTATATTAATTCATTTCATAGTCATATTGAATTCACAATAGAAACAGAACAGAATCAATCCATAAATTTTCTAGATTTAAAATTATCAGACTTAAAAACAAGCGTGAGTTCTCCGTATTTCATAAACCTACCCATACTGACACGACTATATACAATTCATCATCCTATCCCCTTCAACATAAATTGGCAGCTTACCATAGCATGTTACATAGAGTAATAGAAATTCTCATATGAAAAAATTACTTCGAATTGAATATCATTAAGCAAATAGCAGTATTCATCATTCCTGATCCGAGGCATAATCCTATTTCTATGAGCCGTATGGTTTTAAAGTCTATCAGTAGGGTGCTAACCTGGCGGCAGTCTCAAATTTAGGTAAAGAAAATGCTGAAAAAGTTGCAAGAATTTTAAAAAATATGTTGTTTACTTTTTTCTAATTTTTTCTCAATGAACTTGTTTGATATTAAATATCTACAATGGTCTAAATTGATTATTTTTAAGATTTTCCTTTTTAGAAGGTTGAGAATTATTAGTTTTCGTCATGTTTTTAGTTCTAATTTTTCATTTTTTTTGTGTATCTAATGGCAAATTATATGTTTAACAGAAAGAAAAGGATCTAGAACTGACAGCGAGGATCGGTAAGGAACTTCTGGTAAACAACAACAAGCTAGAAAACACGGTAGCTTCGTTAGAAACGGACTTGAAAGCGGCTCACGAGAAAATTACCCAACTTAGTCATGAAATTCACAAGAAGACGGAACTCATTCAGATACTTACCAATGATATGGAGGATACTGGATTCGAAAATGGATCATCGGGAAAAGTAAATTTGGACGTGATGAACAAAAAAATATGTAAGTATTTGTTAAAACAGCAGTAGACCTTTTTAGAAACTTTCTTTTTAAAACTGATTCTACTGTGCAATGCTCTGTATTTTTTTCATTTAACGAAAACTTTTTAACAAGTTCCACAGTCCAGGAAGCTATTTATGTGTCCATAAAACTCATCCATGAACTGTGTATTTCCTCCACCACCTGTTGGGGTCGAATTCAGAAGTATTCAACGTCAGCTATCACCATAGCAAAGATCTTCTGCCACATGAAAAACTCTCCTGATTTTTCACTTACCTACATTTGACTAATTTAGTCTAATAAAATAATCTAAATACAAAATTTGGTTCAAAATAACAGAATTCTACCTAATATAGCCAATAAATACTGTCGTAATAAATCATAAATTAAGACTTGTTAGAGGAAGGCATGATCAGCAAAAATGTAGGGATTTAGATATAGATTATATTATTTTCAGTTGCAGTAGATAAATTATTTTAAAGGATTAAATACTATGAGTTTCATTCTCGATTTAAAAACAATATTAACATTTTTATTCACGTTATCTTTTTATCTAACAGTATATAAAATATATACTCTTTTGTTGTATATTATTTTTATTTATATTCGATGATTGTATTTCCTAATATTTTTTAGTTATTAATAGAAAACCTGTATAACATAAATATTTCCGGCATTCTTGATAGGGTATTTCGTACTTTATAGTTGTCCGGCTTAAATTTTCTATTCTTAATTTAAATTATCTGTGAAATTTCCCGACTACAAAACGTTTCTGCTGACAGGAAGACGAATGGTATACGCCTACGCAGAAGTGTAGAAGTAGAAGTGTACAACATCTTAAGAAATTGAGAGAGATGTGTGATTTAGAGATCAATGAAACAATTCAATTGGTGTCTGAACATAAACTAATGAATCATCTATCAGAGTGAGATTTACTCACAATTTTATGCAATTAAAAATAGTTTTGCTTAGAAGAAAATTTTATGATTACCAGTTAGAAAAACAAGCTGGATTTAGAAGCGATATAACACCCGTAACACCAGCAAATTCTAAAAATAATTTTTTTGAAGCTTATTAAAAAGCTTTAGGTAACGTGAAACTGGAAACCATCTAAAAACATAATTTTAAGAAGACTACATATAGAATCACAACAAAAAAGATCGATCACAACTCAAAGAATATTATAATGTTCATCAAGAAAGCATAAATGCCATAAATCATGCATGTTGATTTTATATCTAAATATTTAATGCATACGTATGTTGCGCCATCTATCGTTGGAGCTGTTATATATAAATATATATTTGGCGTTTTATTCAGCCGTAGTAGGAGAAATGGCCTCGAGATGTCGCTATAGCTTACTTGTTAACATACACTGGAGCTCAAGAATTTTCAGATTTAGAGCTTACGACGCTTACTTGCGTTGCTTACAGTAACAGTATATGTGGTGTGAAGTGTGGTGAAGTCAAATAAATTGTTGACGGATTGATGAAAGTGTACTCTAAAATGTAAAATCTAATAACGTGGTTCGTGGTGAAAAATTCAACTATTCTACAATTAATAAAAAATGTACAATTTACAACATACACTGGTGTGCCATCTATTGATGAAAAGCTTAAAATAACGTGGAATATTGATTTTGTAACAAGAAGGTATCTAATTTATACCACAGTTTCCACTGCTGTGTGATATGAAAATGAAATTAACAACAGGTATCAAGGAATTCCCCGAAATTTAGTACAAGACATGCATAGATGGATGGATTAGCAACCAACCAAAATAGAACAGAATACATAATATAATTAGTTCATTGTGAAACTGAAATTATTTTGAAGAGACAACGGCCCCAAATCCTAAAAGCGTCTCATCAATTGTTACATATTCCGATTGAGTGTATTTGTCTACAGGATTTATCGAACATATCCCAAATATCCATGTCTTCTTTCGTTCCTTATCATCAAACCGTAAACAGTTGATCAGAAGTTCAAAACGGTTCTTGTTGATGATTATCCTAAAGAGAACAGGTCCAAAAATTGGTGACCATAAATCACTCTGTGTAACATGGGCATTTTTTAAAACACCGCTCAAATATAACAGTCTAAACAACGCTCGTATTTCGACACTATCCGTTGCTCCAAGATACCATTGCTCGCTCTTATATCTAATTGTCTTTCTTTCGAGTTTCTCATTAGTGTACTTTACAATTATATCCACCAGTTCTTTGCTAAAAAATAAACTCCAAATTTTTTTTGGATCTACCATATCTTTTGCTGATCCTTTCGGTCCTGCCACACTTTTTGTTTTGGACTTATTTGTACTTTCTACTGCAATTTCCGGAGAGACATCGGGATTTTCTGGAATTAAGGCATAAAATTCATCCTGCGTATCCTCTATATCTATGTTGTCTTCAGTTTCACTCTCATCGGTTTCTACAAACTCTTATGTAGGAAATACCCTTTTCTAGTCAGTTCTATCTATATTCGCAAATTTAATTAATGATGATCACCTAAAATTCACCACATTTTCCCCCAAAAAATCTCCCATTTATTTCAGCTTATAGAAATTCCCCCAGACCATTTGAAATTACCCAAGAATGGGGGGAAATACCCCAATCTGGCAACTCTGAATGCTTAGCTGCGTCCGAACAATGAAATCAGTTTAAGAGCGGATAGTAGGATTCGCCGGTCGCGAGCGAGGCCCTCTTGTCTTCTTCTTCTTCTCCTTTTTTATAAGCAAAATGCTTGTTCAATGTCGATTAATGCCTCTATTGGAGGTTATCACTCCATCTTTTGCGTGGTCGCCCGATACTTCTTCTACCTTTTGGTGATTTTCCCTCGCTATTCTGACTAATCGGGTCTCTTCCATTCTGTTTATGTGTTCGTTCCATTCCTTTTTTCTGTTCAGTGTCCACTCATTTATTTCTGGTATATTGCATTTTCTTCTGATCTCTTCACTCCTCATTCGATCCCTCAGTGTGTTTCCTGTAATTCTCCTCAGTAAACGCATCTCCGCTGTTTCTAGTAGTTGCTGAGTTTTGGAGGTATCAGGTCTTGTCTCTGAAGTGTATGTCATTATTGGTCTTATTGTTGCTTTGTAGATTCTTGATTTCACGTCGGTATTAATGTGCGGATTGCGCCAGATCGTGTTATTAAGACAACCTGCTATTTTATTAGCCTTTGGTACTTGATTTTTCACTTCCTTCTCCACATCTCCGTAGCTAGACTGTGTAATTCCTAGGTAATTTGTCTCCATTACTTGCTCAATGCTGATACCGTCGATTTCCAGTTTACATCTGATTGGTTCTTTACTGATTACAATTGTTTTAGTTTTCTGTGTAGAGATTACCATATTAAAGTCCTTTGCCCTTGTGTTGAATCTATGGGTTAGTCTTTGTAGATCGTCTTCATTAGATGCAATTAGGGCCGCATCATCTGCATAGCAGAGTATTCTGATTTCTTTGTTCCCCATTTTGTATCCTCTTCCTTTATTAATAGTATTGATGATTTCATCCATGATTAGATTGAATAGCGTTGGACTAAGCGAGTCTCCTTGTCTTATTCCATTGCCCATATCTATTGGATCTGTGGTTCTAGAATTAATGGATCATCCAGCTTGATTGATTTCATAGCAGTATTACTTAAAATTTTGTTGTACAAAAGGCACATGGGCAGATGTTGGTTTGGCGTGGATGGAATAAACTTTCATTTAGATGAAATGCGTTGAAACCAATACAACAATAATACGAACAGTTTCATGAATGACAATTTATATTCATGTAAGAAATACTCCATAAATGCCACTTAATTCTAATGGTCTTTTTTTAAGTCTAACCCCTAATTTGTTCTGAAGCTATTTTCTTGTGGCATTGTAAATTAATTACTATTAAACTGGGAATAAGCCACAATTAAAGATAAAAATACGTTTATTGACGTTTCAATTTCCACTTCGGAAATCGTTCTCAAAATACAAACAGTAAAATTAAACAAATTTTGTTTTTTGTTACATAGTGAAAAATTCTTCTAATAATTTAATTTTATCTGACTCATTTATATTGACAATTCAGACATACATTATCATTTTAAAGTCGTCTACTTTAAAATGATATTGCCAATATTGTTGAGTTGCGCTCCTGGGACGACTTTACTTATAAGATAGTTCATTCGATTACATGAAATCAACTTTAACTTGAGAATATCCGTCAGAAAAAAATCATAGCATGTAATTCGTCTTTAAAAAGACAAACATATGACATGATGACAGTAAAATTCTCCTGTTAGTGATTCCATAGTAAATTATGAGGGAAAACCAGGAAAAAAACCTCATAATACTATCCCGACATTGTAAGTATTTGTTCGTGAATTTAGTTTACCTTCAACAAACATCAAAATTCTAATTTTATATGTTACCTTGTTTAAAAAACATAAATGATGTATCCTCTATATGTTACTGACTTACTAATACTGGTATTTTCTTATTAATAACTTCCTCTTTCAATATTTTTGCAATATTTGCGACACAATTGGCCTCATTTAGCATAATTAGAGCCGCTTCTTTGATTTTTCTTTTTTTACCATGCGTTTCTTTTAGGACTACATTTGAATTATTCCATTGAACCCTATGTTCATTATCCCATGCGTGTTTACAGATTTGAGATCTATCAAATTCTTTATTTTTAATATAAGATTGATGTTCACTTATTCTAACATTTAATGGCCTTGATGATTCACCTAAATAAAACTGATCGCATTCACAAGGTATTTTATAAATGCAATTCTTTGTCCTTTCTTGTTCATTGTTAGGTTTGGTTTTGGACAAAATAGATCTCAACGTGTTTGTTGTTTTGAATGTTGTTGAAATGTTGAATTTATTTCCTATCCTTTTAAGTTTTTCTGATAGTCCTTTTATGTACGGTATTGTTATTTTCCTCATATTATTATTCCTTGTGTATGCTGTAGGATCTCGTTCTAAGTTGTTCTGTTCTATTCGATCGATTGTTGAAAATT